TAGCTGGGACTACAGGCATGCGCCACCATGCCCGGCTAATTTTTTCTATGTACTTTTACTTGCCGATTAATTTCTTTCTATTTTTAGTAGAGACGGGGTCTCGCTCTTGCTCAGGCTGGTTTCGAACTCCTGAGCTCAAACAATCCTCCCGCCTTGGCCTCCCAGAGAGCTAGGATTACAGGCATGAGCCACCACGCCCGGCCAAGAAGGATGTTTTTTAATGGTAAGAGGGCCGATCCGTCAGGGAGCTACCACAGCTGGAAGTATTTGTGCACCTTAAGTAAGAGTACCTGACACGCAATTACACGTATGTGTGCACCTTAGCACCTGACATGCAATTACACGTATGTGTGCACTTTAAGTAAGAGTACCTGGCATGCAGTTACGCGTATGTGTGCACTTTAAGAGTACCCAACATGACACTTAAACACGTGTGCACCTTAAGAGCACCCGACATACGACAGTTACACGTATGTGTGCACCTTAAGTAAGAGCCCCCGACACACGGGAGAAATGGACAGTTCACGCTGACAGCCGAGGAGCTCAGTACCCTGTCGTCAGCAACTGGCGGAACAACCGGGCGGAAGGTGAGCGAGGAGGTGGAAGACGCGAGCGGCGCAGGAGCTCAGCTGGACCCACAGACGTCCGTCGGCCACTCCACCAGGAAAGCAGACAGACCAACCCTAAAACTCAGTGGGCGTGGAAGGAGCCCAGGACGGCCACGCAGTCCCGAGAAAGCAGGCTGGGGCCGTGTGCTTCGCGGTGTCAGACTGACTGGAATCTGCAGGGAGCGAGGCGGCGCAGCCCTGGCGTCAGGACCCACCGGCCGGCAGTGGACCTGGCTGGGTGGCCCAGAAACCCAGAACGAGCCGGCGTCTGGTCAGCGGCTCCTGCGAGGGGTGCGCAGTCCAGGTTCTGAAGGCTGCGCCTGTGTCGGGTCCTCCTCCCAAGGGAATCTAGAAGTGCCACTAGGGCTAGAAATTGGCCATGACGTGTAACTTTACATGAGTTTTCAGGCTTTTCAAAGACAGTTGCAACACGTGTGGTCCAGAGAATTTTTTGGAAAAGGAGAGGTCGTTGCACATCCACGCTAGGACTGTCAGGTGCAGCTGTTCAGGTTTGTGCTACCGAGTGTGTTTCAGGAAGTGGAGGCTGTGTCCTCCCTACACACAATTCTCTGCTTTTGTTTGTGAGCATCACGCTTTAGCGTTCGTATAGGCACATACACGTGCGTCTCTTTTGGAAGAGTGAGAGCGTCTTGCCCACTACTCTCCTGGGGACGAGGGGAGCCGGGCCTTCCCCACACACACACCTCTGGGCCTTCAGTGGTGTTTGGGACGCCCAGCGCAAAGCTCTCTCTCACGCACCTTGAAATGACGCACTCAACCCAGGTACACGTGGTTCAGAATTGTAGCAAAAAGCTGGTAGATCAAATAAGGGCTTTTTTTGTTTTAATTTGCCCATTTTTAAGCGAGAGACTTTTTTCTCATCCTGTCATGCCCCGGTACACGAAGCAGCAATTCTTACCCTGCGGCAGTTAATAGCACTGGACACCTCCCGGCGAGAAGAGACCAGGCTCTGGCCAGAGGACCGTCTGGCGTGTTGGTGCGAGCCCTCTGCCAGGTGCGTCCTCTCATACGTGTGACACACACAAAACGACTCATCCCAGTGCCGTGAAGTTGCCGAGCAGGGCGAGAGCGTGGCGTGGGTTTACCCCCAGGGCTGCTGGGTCACCTCCAGAGCCACTGCGGGGACTCTGGCCTTCGGGTTCTGACGCAGGGACACCCCACAAAGGGTGCCCTGCAGTCCCCTTGCTGGGGTGGCTCCCGCTCTCAGCCGCAGCTCGCTCTTGCCACCTGTCACCTTGGCAGCGCTGAGCCCCGTGTTCGAGGTGATCGAACCATTTTGGGTCCCACTTACGGCATCTGGCAGGTTCCCATGCAGATCTGCCTGAAACGCCCGTACCAGCACCTGCTGGGCACTCTCGGTCCTCGCTGGTGAGAAGAGCCCGTTCGTGCCAACACTCGTTTCCCTGTAAATGTATTTGAGAGAGTCTGTTTGCGTAGCACACCCATAGCTCTCCCCACGCGTGCAGACGCGTCCACACGTGACTCCGACAAGCCGTATCAAGTCAGATCGCCCCTGCTCTGTGCGGTCCTGCTGTTTTCTCTTTCTCTTTCCCAGCCTGGTTGTAACCCGCAATTTGAAAGCTGCTTTGTGGATTGTCTGATCCTCACTGGGTTGGATGCTGATACAAAATAGTGACTTGTGTTTATTTGCCACACACACTAAAATAGTTGTGTCATTTCGGATTGTAAACTGGAGGTGCTGATCCGTGCACTGTGACAGGTGTCCAGAAAACTGAAACAGTGGAGGGGAAATTTACATGTATTAGTTGTCTTCGTATCGCCTTATTCCACATAGAGTTTGAGGTAAGTTTTTAAGCTTTAAATTTTTCCAAAACTAAATCTATCAGTATTTCTCTATGGACCTGTGCAGCTGGCTGTAAAAACAGAATGTCAGTACTTCACGTTTCGCTAAGAGGAAATGCAGCTGTGTCAGTCACAGACGTGTACCAACCAAGGCTTGTAGCTGCTTCTAATTTTTGAGGCAATTTTTCAATTATTACTGTTCGATGGTGCTGCATTTTAAAATGCCGTCCTCCAGACGTTTGACCACGAGTCAAGGCCTTGGTGGTTCTCAGCGCAGCTCTCTCCGAACCTTGTTGCAGAATCACAGGCTACCTCTCCCTCCGTCCCTGCTCCTCCCTCTCCCTCCAGGGTCCCGCCAAGCCGCCGTCCTCCCTCCGGCAGTTCCTGTTAGGGGCCCTGGTGCTTGGGTCCTGCTGGCGGGGAGAGCAGTGAGACCATCCTGCTGGCTGCCCGCCAGGGGCCAGTCCTGGGGGTGGGGCTGAGGAAGGCATCACTCACGGGCAGAGGACCAGGCTGTGCACCCCTGCGGCCCGTCCCCATCAGACGGTCCAGGCCTGTCCTCTGCTGACCTTGGTGACCTAAGGTCCAAGCTTGACCTGGGACCACTCCTGTGGTTCAGACGGGCACTGTTGACCAGCTGGCGTGGGCTTTCTTATGTCGCAGCAGCAGCCCCGCGGCAGGCCCCTGGGGGGTCAGGGCTCTCTTACTGATCGTGCTGATGAGGTTCCTTCTGTCTCGTAAATAAACTAGATGACTTTTAGTACCAGCATGAGTGGGTTCAACTGTTACTGCGCTGCAGTGTGAGTGTGTTAGCTTACACTGTGCATGTGTTACATATGTGCTGTGTATGCACGTGCACATGTATTACATGTATGTGCATCAGCTGTATACTTCGTTTTGGTTTTTTTCTTTTTTTTAATTTCATTATATTATGGGGGTACAGATGTTTAGGTTATGTATGTTGCCCTTACCCCCGCTACCCCCCCCAGTCAGAGCTTCAAGTGTGTCCATCCCCCAGATGGTGCGCATCACACTCATTATGTTTGTATATACCCATCCTCTCCTCCCTCCTCCCCGACGCCCGATAAATGTTATTCCTGTATGTGCACTTAGTTGTTGATCAGTGAAACCAATTTGCTGGCGGGTACATGTGGTGCTTATTTTTCCATTCTGGGGATACTTCACTTAGTACAATGGGTTCCAGCTCTATCCAGGAAAATACAAGAGATGCTGTATCACCATTGTTTCTTATAGCTGAATAGAACTCCATGGTATACATATACCACATTTTATTAAGCCACTCATGTATTGATGGGCACTTGGGTTGTTTCCACATCTTTGCAATTGTGAATTGTGCTGCTATGAACATTCGAGTGCAGGTGTCTTTTTTATAGAGTGACTTTTGTTCTTTTGGGTAGATGCCCAGTAATGGAATTGCTGGATCAAATGGTAGATCTACTTGAATCTCTTTAAGGTATCTCCATATTGCCAGAATCTATTTAGAACTCAGGAATATCAGCAAGAAAAAATCAAACAACCCTATCAGAAAGTGGACAAAGGACATGAACAGAAGCTTTTCAAAAGAAGACAGAATAATGGCCAAGAAACATACGAAAAAATGCTCAACATCTCTAATCATCAGGGAAATGCAAATCAAAACCACAATGAGATATTATCACTTATCTGCAGTGAGAATGGCCTTTATCAAAAAGTCCCAAAACAATAAACGTTGGCGTGGATGCGGAGAGATAGGAACACTCACACTGCTGGTGGGACTGCAAACTAGTGCGGCCTCTGTGGAAAGCAATATGCAGATACCTTAAAGAGATATATATACGATGTTTTTAAGGCTTTCACCTTGAATGACGGGAGGTCGCCAAGTCTCCTGGGAGCAGCAGGACAGTTTGCAGCCTGTGGTGCATGGGCTGGGCGGAACCCAGGGCTCCGGAGGTTCCACAGGGTGTTCTGGTTCAGGCCCACGAGCGTCCCTGGGATGGGGGTGCGGCAGCTCATAAGCAGAACTTAATGGCATTGCTGGTTATGTAACGCGCTGGTATGCACTTTGGCTCATTATTAAAGTAATTAGTTTTAGCAGCTGCCTGTGAAATGAGTTTCGAGACAATGAACCAGGTAATGACCTCATTCGATTACCTGGGGATGCACCTGTGTGGAGGCGTCTGTTGCTTCTCGTTTGCTGACGTGACGTTGGCAAGTTTCTCTAGCAGATGCACCTGGCCTGCCGTGTCCTCTGGCATCGTAAACACTTACTAACCACCGCTGGTATTTTGGGGCAAGGTAGAGGGTCCCTTTGTCAGTGATTTCACGACATCCCAGTGTGTAACTGGGAATCGGGTTGTTTTTCACCAGCACTGCTGGACTGTGCTGTCCCCCACGTCCTGGAACACAGCCTGAGTGGGCAGTGCAGTGAGCACGGGCCCCCGGGTCTGGGGGCCCCAGTGTGTCCTTGACCACAGAGCTGTGGACGTTTGCTGCAAGCGCGGTTCTGAATGAGTGATGTGCGTGTGTTTGGGAACCGCGAGCGTCTCTCACACGTCTGCTTCTCTGCAGAGGCCACAAGCGGAAGCTGAACGAGGAGGACTCCGCCAGCGAGTCCAGCAGGGAGTCCAGCAACGAGGACGAGGGCAGCAGCTCGGAGGCGGACGAGATGGCCGCCGCGCTCGAGGCCGAGCTGAACGACTTCATGTGACCACAGGCTCCCCGCGCAGGCGGGGGCCACGCCACGAGCCATGCCCCGCCTCACAGACCCCCGGCTTCCTGGGCCGCCTTCAGCGTGGGTTCCTTCTCTCCAGAAAGACGTGTATATTTTGTAGAGCTCCACATACAGAAACACGTTATTTTGCAGAGAAATGGGTGTTTTTAAGAAGTTTTGCTGCAGGAAAATCTACTTTTGTAAGCAACAGTGTGGAAGGGAGTCGGGGTCTATGCCAAAGAGCCCCACAGGGCCACATGGGGCCTGGAGTGGGCCGTGCCGTGTGGGGGCCAGGCAGGGATGTCCCCTCGTGTCCCAGAGCACGCTGCGTAGGGCAAGGACTGGGGAGGTAAGGTGTGGAGAGTGACGCGTGGAGGCCTGGGGTCTCATCCTACCGTTCCCAGCTGAAGCCATCAGAATCTGAAAAGATTTTTACACGAAACAGAACACACGTGTGCACAGAGCACTGAGGCCAGCACACACAGGCCCGGCGAGCCCCTGCTGTCTGTGGGTGGTGGCATGGCCTGCGGGGTGACTGGGGGTTCCTGTGCGGCCCCCACCACGCGGCCACGCTGCCGTCGTGTGTCCTGCACTGGGCGCCGCTTCTCCCGGGCGGCCTTTTACTGCTTTGCGAAATCCGATGTAAAGTTTCTGTATATCTGTTTCATATCTGACCCACCAGACGGTTTTCTTCCACTTAATAAAGGTCCTTTTTGTAAGTTCCCTCTCGGTGCGCCGCAGCCTCAGGGCTTCTGGTTCCCCCACCTTTCTCTTCGCGGGATGCAGGCTGTCGGGGGAGCCCTCCCTGCTCAGGGTCTTGCCGCAGAGCTGGGGAGCAGAGCGCAGCGTGGGAGGGTCGGGGCCTGGAGGCGCAGACGGAGCACAGGTCTCATGCACGCTAAGGCCACGCGTTGCTGTCTCCAGTGCTTGGGAGGGGTTTTCAAAGATGGAACCAAAACATGCGGAAAACAGAAGGCCGTGCTTGTTCTTGCTGTCAGACGTGTGCAGATCAGACCCAGGTGGGCACCAGAGGAGCAGGAGGCAGCTCTGACCCCAGCACTGGCGGGGAGGGTGCGTCCTGCAGCCGTATGGTCTGTCTGCAGACTGCGTTGCTCTGAGATCTCTGGGCAAAGCGCTCCCTCTACGGCCGTGACCACAGCCAAGCGCTGGGCTGTGGGTGGAGGAAACCGGGTCGGTGCTGTGTCCCAAATGTGGCGGCTGGTGCCCCAGTTCTGTTGTTTGAAGAAGAGAACACCAGGTCTGGGACTCCGGCCAGGGGCGAGTTTTGTTCTAAGCACATTGTTGAAGTACTACTTCACCCAGCTTTAGATCTGCACAGCAGGGCTTTCTATTTTCTGGGTTAGCTACCAAATTAAAAGTTAAGTGCTAGGCTAGGGCTGTGCACAATTTATACTCTCTTCAGTTGTAAGTAACAGAGTCAGCCCCAGTAGGCTTGACTCCAGGCATTGATTCTTCTGAGAAGTCCTGGGTGGAGCTTCAGGTACGGTTGGATCCAGGTGTTTACCAGATGCTCAGATGTCATAGGTGAACCCTCTTGTGGTTTGTCCTTTCTCTCTTGGCTTCAGCCTCAGTGGGCCTTTTCCACATCGTGGCTAAGGTGGTCAGACTCCGTCCACACCCTGAGTGACGTGGACAGGAGAGATGGAGCCGTCACCGTCGACCCAGGGAACAGGTCTTGGGCAGGTGAACAGATCCAGGAACCAAAGCGCAGTCCTTGCCTCATTCTCCCAAGGTCAGCGACTACAGGGACCCTCCACAACAGCAACAATTGAAATCTCCATGTTTCCCAGTCCAAATTTTTCCTATGAAACAGAAAAGAAGGAAAAAAATCCTTAATGATGGATTTATATAAAAAGGCAGAAATGGAAACCGCAGAGTTGTGAATGAGAACAGGCTCACAGGCTGGTGTTTTTTAAAACATCCGGGTGTCAAGGGTCACCTGCATTATTGTGCTCTCTGAGTCTTCCGTAAGTGCTCACCTGGGGTGCTGGGCCGTTGGCCACGCCCCGCCCACTCTCCCGTGTGTGTCGGGGGCTCCACTCTCGGTCACAGCCTTCTCCAAAGAACATGTTCTCCTAATTCCCGATTTAATCTTCCCTGACCGTGGCTCGTGGAAGGTGAGTGACGGGGTCCCCTCTGCACAAGGGACCTCAAGGCGTGGGCGCTGGGCCCTTCGCTGCGGGTCCCCAGCAGAGCCAGCGAAGGCAGGTTCCCGGCAGTCCTGGGTGTTCTAGTCAGGTCATGGCGGGATGACAGCCGTGGAATTCGAAGGAACAAACTAACTGGAAGGTGGGGTGTCCAGCTTGCCCCCCCCAGGTGGCCGTTTCCGGCACAAGCCAGGTTGTCTGCGGAGCCAGGTTGCCAGGCGGCTTCCCTACCCGTCCCTCCCGCGTTCTGAGAGCCGCAGTCCGACCGGCTGGGCAGGCAGCCCTGGTCTGAAGGAGGCAGCTGCACCACGTCCGGCCTCGAGCGTGTTCAGCCACAAGCTTGCAACGTCTAAGACGGATGGGGCGGAAGAGTGAAAATGGATGTTCACGCCAACGCCAAAGAGAGCAAAGGTTTCTTGCAATTTAGTTTACAGGAACACAAACGAGGAGTAAGCGTGTGCCGGTTAGGGGGGAAGACAAGTAAGGATTTTATTTCTTGCAAAGCCCGTGAAGGGCTCAGGAATGTCTAGTTTTCTTCTCAGCAGGGGTCCTGGAGGGCTTCACCCATTCACACGTGTCCCCGGCACGGACGTCTGGCGTTAGCGGCTCTGTCACCACCAAGAGCCGAGTCCCGGTCAGACGTGGGCAGCCCCTTGTCCTGCTCTGGCCGAGTCCCTTTACTTTGGGGGAGGCCTGAATATGCTCTGAGAGGCTCCTCGACACGAAGTCAAACACGATGCCCACCTTGTGTGTCCCAAAGAGCCTTTCTAAGGAAGAGACGCAAACCCGCCTCCCTCGGGGAAGGTGAGTGAGGAGAGCTTCCAGGGGAGGTGGGGATGCGGCCGGGGGCTTCCCTGCTGTGGCAGAGGACCGGGGGTCCCAGCTCCTGGAGGAGCAGAGATTGTCACCCATCCTGGGACCGGTCCCATCCTGAGACCCCGGGGCAGGGGACAGCACCACCAGATCCCAGCTCCAGAGCGCACCTGAGCCCAGCTCTGGGCTCTGTTGCACGAGCCATGTCCCCTCGGCCCTGGCGCCCCATGGCGGTGGCGCTGGCCTCCAGGAGGGCTGCCCAGAGCACCCACACGCGCAGGCCCTGAGAATGGCGGGTGTTCTTACAACAGAACCAGGGACATCTCCAGGGACTTGGTGACCAACGATTGGTACAACTTCCACATAAAGTCTTTTTAGGAAACTTGAACTTGCTTCCCTGAGCATAGTTTTTACACGTCAAGATTTATGCTTAAAATGGCTGTAAGGAAATTTGTGATCAAGACTTTGAAGAGATAACTTATTAATGTCCAAAAGAAATCTCTTGCATAAGTAGATAAATTTTGGACCATTTCTTTATAAATATTCGAAAATCTGTAACCGTTGAATTTATTAAAGTCTTCTTCCTTTTCGTTTTTGAGAAACATAATGTTAAAATTTCGTGTCAGGGCAGGAGTGGATTTCACATCCAGGAAGAGTTTTTCCTTCCAAGTTTTCAAAACCATGACACACCAGCAGCGGGTGGGGTCGGGCGCTGGGGGGGTCTCACCAGGGGTCCGTCCAGTGGTCGCTCCTGGTGTCGGACGTTCTGTGGGTTTTGACAAAGGTCTGATGGCACATGTCACTATTGTGTCACACAGAACCGTGTCACTGCCCTACAGACCCCCCATGTCCCCACTGCAGCCCTGGGAACTGCTGACCTTCCCACCCTCTCCGTGGGCTTCCCGTCTGCAGAGTGTCACGTGGTCAGGGTCACACGGCAGCCGCCGTCCCTCAGCGAGATGCATTTGAGTTTCCTCCATGTCTTTGCGGCCTCACAGCCCATTTCTTTGTGGCCCTGAGTGACTCTACATGGTGCAGATGTACCACAGTTCATCCGTCCAGTCACACGTGTCACAGATGATGCTGCTGTGAACGTCCGCGCGCAGGGTTTTGTGTGGACGTGAGTTTTCAGCTCCTTCGGGTACGTGCCAAGGAGCAGGTTGCTGGATGGCGCAGCAATCACATTTGGTTTGGTGCGAAAGCACCGTCCCCCAACGTGGTTGTGACCTTTCACACCCCCCAGCAGCGAGGGTCAGGTCCTGCCGCGGCCGTTCCGCTGATGACAGCCGTGTGGCCGCGCCTCGTTTCGATTTGCGTTCCCGTGATGACGTGGTGTGGAGCAACCTGCGTGTCTCCCTTAATGAAGTGTGTTCAGATTTTTGGCCCATTTTTTAATCATGTTGTTTGCTAATTGTTGAGTGTTAGGAGTTTTGTGCATTTCGGACAACAGTCCTTTACCAGACGTGTCTTTTGCAAATATTTTCCCCTGGTCTGGCTTGTGTTCTCCTTCTCTTGACCGTGCCCTTCACAGAGCAGACGTTTGTAATTTTAATGACGTCCATCGATTCTTCCTTCCATGGATCGTGCCTCCGGTGTTGTGTCAAAAATTCATCATCATATCTGGGTCATCTAGATTCTCTACGGTGTCACCCTCTAGGAGTTTGATAGTTTGGGATTTTATATTTAGGTCTCTGATCCATGTTGAGTTAACGCCTCGTAAAGGGTATAAAGTCTTTGTCTAGATTTATCTTTTTGTGTGGGAATAACAGTTGTCCCGGCACCACTTGTTAAAAGCACCATTTTTGCGCCTTTGTCGAAGATCCGTGACCTGTATTTACGTGGATCTATTTCTGGATTCTGTGTTCAGTTTCATTAACCTGTTTTCCTGCTTTTTCACCAACACCCCCTTGTCCTGAGCGCTGTAACTCTACGGCAACGCTTGAAGTTGGTAGTGTCAGACCTCTGTGTCCTTCCGTGTCAAGTTGGCGATCCCAGGTCTCCTGCCTCTCCCTGTAAACTTTAGAATCATTGTGTTGATATCCACAAACAACTTGCGAGGATTTTTATTGGGATTGTATTGAAACTATCGATCAAGTTGGAAGAACTAATGTCCTGACAAGATTGAGTCTTCCTGTCCATAAACGGACTATCTCCTCATTCATTTCATTGCTTTTATATCTTGCGTCAGAACTTTGCGGTCGACCTCACATAGGTCTTGCACATGTGTTGTTAATTTCATACCTAAGTATTTTACTTGAGTGCTAATGTAAGTGGCAGCGTGTTTTTAATTTCGATTTCCACGTGTTCATTGCTGATATAAAGGAAATTGATGGACTTTTGTGCGTTAACTTTGTGTCCTGAAACCTTTACTACAATCGCTCATCAGTTCTAGGGGTTTGGGGTCAGTTCTTTCAGACTTTCTGCATAGATGATCATGTCTTCCCAAGACTGTTTTATTCCTTCCTTCCCGGTGTGTACACCTTTATTTCCTTTTCTTGTCTCAC